TAACCGTAATAGTTTTATCGTTTCTTTTAATCACTTTGAATGCACCGGTTATAAGGGACGCTGCACATTATACCTTCTGATAAACACATGGGTACTGTTGGTCAGTCGTTTTGGTATGTACACACGGTGTTGATGTTACCTCGGAATCGTTATCCTCAGATTACTCATATGCTGCTTTAGACGTTGTACATAGTAGGCTATATCAGTTGGAACACTATTGCCTGAGGTAAAAAACTCTCTCCACTCTTTGTATTCTCCAAGATTCTAATCTTCTGATTTCTTCATATCCCTTTCTTTTTTCTCTTTCTAAATTTATTTCACTGGACTATACTTCTTGAATAACATCTTCAAATCCTGATGTTTCCGATTGCTACTTATACTTTTACTACCTCTACCACTATAAGATTTGAATGGACATGTGTATCTGTGTGCTAATGTGGTATGGCAACTCGAACTGATGTACGTACATGCGAAGTTCTACGTAGCTGACTGATTGACTTTTAATTGATAATTGTCGTAGCACAGTTGAAAGTTATACTGAAGTAACGATTATCTACACTAGATACCACACCCAGTGTCTATTCTACAGGACTTCAACACAACTCACATCAAGAACACGTAATCAGCCTGACCAGAACGTGAATATATTTTCACACCCAAAACCGACACAATCCACAACAATGAATAATCAACAATAAGTATATATGTATATAAGAGGGTGTCACAATAATAAGGATAAAGGAATATATATTTGACACCTGTAAGACTGTTTACATGTCGTCTGACTAAGCAGCCAACCAATCATAATCATTCTCGTCCACACAACAGTTACCATACCATATTAGCATAGTGAGATCAAAAATAACCAGATAAAGAGCAAAAGAAAACAAAATAATATACTATCAATGATAATGAGAGAGGCTAAATGTTGATGTTTATTACAAACGAAAACAAATTCATGAGATGATATTGCAAAATATCTCATAAACTAAACTCATACATAAATCATCAGTATAGGGGTTGTGGAGATTATTAAGTTTTTGATTGAGATCATGAACCGATTGATGTTAGATTAACGTAGAAAACCTGGGAGCACTGGACGACCGTTTCGTCCTACTGTGGGACTCCTAAGCAGTGCACATCCATGACCCCGCTCTCGGGGTTCGAATCCACACATAAATCGTTTCGCATAAAATGGGTCATATACATTTGAGTTTGTTGATATTTAATTTGGTTATGGCTTTTTAGTAACTTTTTTAACAGTTATTCGTTTGACAACAACTTACCTATACCATTGCACCTTTATTATGGTTGGACTTGTATAAATATGAATGCTAGAGCATTGCTTACCGTCTACACAGATATTCATTCTGTTAGCTTAAGTGTTAGTCGCTTAAATGATACGATAATTCATTCATTTCCCGATGTATACTTAATCCAGTTCATGAACTCGTTCATTTGCCCTTCTACATTCACATAACATTCTTGCTTCGTGTGCCTGTGGTTTTAGTGGTGCAATATTAAACGTAATCAGCGCCTCGTATTCGTCTTCTGATTTATATACCATTGAGCGTTATGCAGTAACGGTTGTATCGAATACCAACCGTCACATACGTCTATAGATAGTACCGCAATTCAGATCCAATTACGAGCAAGCTTTAAAAACTAATCGAATTACTCACCTAACCGAATTAACCTGCGATATATTTCTATTAAGATCACTACTATGGGTACTTGAAGTGGATAAGTGATTGTTGTCAGCGACATAGAACCTAACCTATATGTAATACTACAGCGTGGAGATTATCAGGACAAATATCAGACTAGTAAAAGTAGTAATAATATCAGTGGTATTTAATTTGCATATTGTAACTGACGATCATGCGTTAAATCGATCATCTACTTTTATGGTCCAGAAATGGGTTTTCGAACTGAGAGCTTATGAATTTAATACTGAGTGGCTAAAAGCACACTACATGCAGATATTCTATCACGCTATTTATATTTCGAAAGGCTACCTAGTTCGACAATTGCATGCATGTATAGTAGGAATTGTAGAGGATACTCGTAAATCTTTTGAAACTGTCCTAAGTGTGGTGAAACAAGGCTAGAATGTTCAACACAAGGAGTTTCCTGAGTTTTACTAAAGGGTAGAGGACATATCTCTACATTCTGGAGCATTTCGTTCTTTGACTATAGAGTAAGTTCTCCACCAACACTTCGATTCGTAATATTAGACGACCTTCACTCTGCCTATCGGGTTACAAAGATAATAAAGTCTCTTGCTCATCATTCTTGGTGACCTGAGAGAGATGCTGATACAAATCAAAAATCGATAAAATGTCCTGATTGTTTACATAAACTATTGTACAATAAACCTACTAGGAATATTTGGCTTTCATCTTATGAATCGTGAAAACGTAATAAACCAGATTACTATGTCCCATTTAAAAACTCATATTTTGCTTCAATTATTGAAACATATTCCATAAGTAGTACTCACAAACAGTCCTAGAGGAAACTTTACGCAAAGAGAATTGATGATAATTGGTTGTGAAGAGACATTCAATGTATTAGTAAATGGTGATAAAATAGTTTTCATAGGAAAAGATTTTAACAGCTAACTTAACGATATTGGATCCGGACACCTAGTTATAGCTCCAAGACATCCGCAGTCCAATAGTTTAGCAGAAAGTTATGTCATTACATCAGTAATCTAGAAGAGCTAGAAAATGCATCGGGAATTTCTGGCTTCAATATCGTAATGTAGAACATTTAAGAACTTACGACAGCCCAGTTAAACTCTCTGAATCTCGCATAGTCCGAACTCATATAGTGAATAAAATATCATCAGAAGTAGTTTTACCGAGGAAATAACTATCGACCATCTACAGGAATTATAATTCACAAAATGAGTAGTTGGATAGAAAGGAATTTTGGTTCAAATGACCATTCAGTTCTTACCAGACATATAGACCAAGTGAAAATTAATTGTGTAGATGATTCCAATTTCACTGATCATTCTCTAACTGATCTTATTTTAAAACTTCAGATAGGTAGTTTCAATTTTCATTCTTCTAAATTTTTCTGGTTAGCGTTTCTTTAGCGAGGTAATTTTCTACGTTATGAGGTTGCTAACCTTATGCCCAAGCCTCCTCGTTTATCCGGGCTTGGGACCGGCAGTAGCCTCAGAGGGGCTCCGGGTTGAGTTTAGGAAGAAGCAAGCCAGAATACCGAATAATTAAGATATGATAGAATTACAAGTAAACCAAAACTACACTACAGACATATAGAGAGCCAATATGTGGCAGGTGTGGTGAAAAACTAATAAATTTACTGTACAATTATTTTATAATATTCTATAATCTGCTATAACAGTACAATGAAGTTTCATTATGAGTAATTTAAATTCGACTCCTTGTCGAAATCCTTGCCTTAATAGGATTAGACTATTTCGAATTCACGAAAACATTAGGCAAAGACAATATGATTAGAGAAGATTGAATTCACGAAATCAAAATAGGTGGAGAAGATTTGTAGCTCAAATTGTACCTTAAATTTAAGGTCAATAAGAACCAATCAACATCGAGGTGCACAGAACAAGCTGTGAAACGCATATGGAGAAATTCGAACACTTCACTTCTATCTGAAGTTTGTGCTGGTGATGATGTCGTTCAGAAGAACGATGAAAGCTCCACGACCAAACTATCCAGCTCAGAGAACAAAACTCCATCAAAATCAAAATAGGTAATTTTAAAAATTAGAGTCTGAGGAAATCCATAGAGTAGACGCATCTGCGGCGCTGTGACCAGTTGCAAACTGTGTCATGTAATGTCTCCAACGATTGGTCAGAATAATCGAAGAACACTAAACCAGTCAGTCCCCAACATAGCTCACATTAACATTCAACGAATTTATGGACTAATGCAACATCTTGGTTTAGTAATCCCTAGCTTCTTTTTAACCTTCCTCTACATTAACAAATATTACATGTTGAAATAGAAGATAGTAAGGCATACGAACAGAATACAGTGGTCTTGAGTGCTGTTAGAGGTATGAGGGCGGTTATCACTTCCTGGTTGCCCACACCGTGTAAGGATTCTTCTGGAGGTACCTGAAAATGATATTGAATTAGAGGTGGTCATAATGAGCTGAGAGCGTGACCGCAGTGCCCAAGGGACAACTGCTTGAGGTCGGTCACACATGACCTTTTTATGAGTAGTTTTTGTGTTAGCTGCGTACTTGTTGAGACCTTACCGCCAGAGACGGATATCCATGGGATAAGGCAAGGTGTGCATTTTTAGGGTCGACCTTTTCTAACCCCACCCCTCCTTGTGGGAAGGTAGCATCGCTGTGATGTTGGTTGTCTGAAGGAAACACCTTACTGCTGTTACACCTCTGTACAGTCAGCAGTACGACTTCACCTTCGGACATTGGATTTGTTGCTTTTAGTCTTACCGCTCTTCAACCGACCAGTCTGGCAAGGTAGGACCTTGAGGAACGGTTGTTCCAGCCAGTATAACTCAGTTGCTTCATCACGATAGGCAAGCCCGACCACCACGTCAAGGTAGCAACAATGGTCGGGAGGCATACGAACCACATTTACCAAATGATTCACTTGATCTACCAACCGATAACAGTAGATCCATAACCGTTTTAACCTGGATCTACTTCAATGTGATAGAATTACATAACTGTGTTCTATTTTTTTTTTTGATTATACAGAAAACTATCAATATGCTTACTGTATAGTTAAAATAATGTTTAAATGAATTAAGAGTATCTGTTTTTTATGCAGTATTATTTTATCAGGCATTTTACACCCTTCTCCTCAATTACCATTTGTCAATAAAGTAACAATCACATAAACGAAGGTGACGCTTATTGCTGAAAATAAGTAAGTAATATTAGTAATAGTAATAAGAATATGAATATATAACAAAACTATGAGATAGGTAGTAAACTATTTACATAAAATATATATATATAGATAAACAGTATTATGATCCATGGAAATAGTTTTGATATGCTACCCCATGAATACGTCGATTATCTTGAGGTGTCATATTGACATCATTTGGAATATAATAACTAAATGGTTGACGATTAGATTGTTTCATCATAGTTCGTGGAATATTTAATGAATCTTGGTAATGATGATGACGTTGACGATGATAATGATGATTTTCATTTAAATTATATGGATGATAATTGTAATGGGATCTCTTGTTTGAAGAGGAAGCAGGCATTGAACAATATGGTGGAGCGTTATTTTGTTGTTGGTGTAGTTGTTGTTCTTGACCAGCTAGAATGAATCAATTACACAACAACAATAAAACGGAACAAGAAGAAAAAAAGGCTAAATAGAGGAAGGAATTATATCAATAAATAAATTAGGTAATCAAAACCATGAAATGTTACACAGATAACTAATGTAAAGAAGGAAGTTCAAGACAGCTCTTTATTTTTAATACGAGACCTTCTCATAGCGGGCACCTTTAAACACACTATTGATTTAACTCAGGACCTTCAGGTAACGCTTGAACTTTAGACTACTGATTCATCTTTGTATTTCGGATGTAAAATAGCCAATAGCAGTGAAAGATACTTGGGTGATACCATGAACCTACAACTAATAGTTTTTTTTATTGCAAATTAATGTTCTATGATATTTCAGTTTCGAGTTGTACAGCTTTCAAAGATAGATGGAAAACAACGCAAAACGGTACAATAATAACCATAGTGGATATATACTACTGATTGGCAAAAACAGTAAAGCAAAAGATCATTACAAAAAACAGAATCTTGCGCGCGAGACTGAAGGCCCTGGGTTCGAATCCCGCGAGCGGGATCGTGGATGCGCACTGCTGAGTACCACAATAGGACGAAACGGTCGTCCATTGCTTCCAGGTTTTTAATGGTGGTCTAACACCAATCAATCAAAAAGTTATGTAAACATTGTCCTACCTTCATAATTTTTTGCAGAAAAACATAATCTAAATGTGCCTTGAGGACCATACAATGCCCACAGAGCCTAACTGCCTAAATCATACGCCTTAATATATTTCCTATAGCTGAATACTTGTTTCTTGATCAATAAAAGTCGATATAATTTGCAACCAATTACTATTTATAACACCAACAATTATTTTTATTGATTTAAACAGAAATATTGGTACAAGGAGGCACCAAAGATATATACGCCACATAAATCACTCGATCTACAAGATAGTGAAGCAACGTAAGGAAATGCCGTTTCATGGTAGCCAGTGACCAACAATTGGTTCATATGCCATTCGTTCCCTCAGGACACTGGAGCCCATGTGCACCAATGATTTGGGATCCGGTTAAAGCGCCGGACAATCGCTTTTCGTCCTCTTTTCGCCAAAGAAAAAGAGGAAGACCAATAAAACACATTATACCGGGAAAAGAAAACAAATATAAGAGAAATGAACAAGAATTGGATGAAACTAGAAAAGAAGGCCCAAGACAGAGTGGGTTGGAGAATGCTGGTAGGCTGGCCTATGCTGCTTCATTAGGAGTAACCGGCGTAAGTAAGTAAGTAAGTAAGTATGTTGCATATCTGGAGCATATAATTTGTAATAATCATAGGGATTAACATATGAAAAATTTTCATAAATTGACTACTATTATTTAATTAAATACCAAAATTACATTACTATAGCCCCCAAATGCCCCGGTACGGCCGAGAGTGTGGAGAGAGTCCGATCTCCCTCTCGAAATGCTCTCACATGGCCACGCGTATATAGCCTCTGCTAGGGAAGTCCTACTCACTGCCTTCTCGTGGCACCGGTGTTGTTTACGAAAATGAGAGGACGAAAAGCGAATGTCCGGCGCTTTAACCGGATCACAAACCAATGGTGCACATAGGCTCCAGTATCCTGAAGGACAAAATGGCGTATGAACCAATCGTTGGTCATCGGCCACCATGGGACTGCATCTCCTTACAATGCTCCACTGCCTTGTGAGTCAGACCTTCAGGTCAAAGGCTCAGAGTATGGCCGCCTAAGAAAACCATCTGCTTCGGTTTGGGCACCCAGGCAGTATCACAGCCCTCACACATATCCAATGAGATCTGTATGGCGCATATATAGTTGGTGCCTCCTCGTACCGATATCTTTGTGTTAAAATAAATAAATAAATAAACCCATAATTGATTTATAAATGAAAACATAATTACTTACATGTAAATAATAATAATTCATTATATTGTGTTGCATTTAATTTTAAAGCTTTTTCAGCATTTCTATTATCCATTATACGACAATTATGAATTTTCTCTTCCCATTTATAACGTAAATTAATTAATTTTTCATTTAATTGTTTACGAATTAATTTAATTCTTTCAGCACATGAAGATGTTGGCCATGTTGTCCATAGTGTTATAGCTTCTTGATAATATAATTTTAATTGAATCGCTTCATCATCTAACCATGGAGCTAAGGATTATTTTGTTTTGTTTTGTGAAAAAAAGGATAATTGAATCATATTATTAATAATAATAATAATAATAATAATAATAATAATAATAATAATAATAATATTATTATTATTATTATTATTATAGTAAGCAATGATGGATAGTGGCTAGCAGTGGAATTCAGTTTGACGCGTGTTTCGTCCTATTTGGGACTCGTCAACTGGATGTATTTACATCACAGACTTGCTGATGTTTACTCCAGGACTCGAACCCAGTATCATTCGCTTCAAACGACATCGTGTTATCCACTCAACTACTGAGTTCTGATAGACATATGCTTGTGCAATCGAGTGAATTTAAATTCGCTTTGTATTTTTTAGCTTGTATCTGCCCATTGAGGTTTAAAAGTGCAATTGATCAGTCTGTTGTTGGCATATGTACATACTGTCCTGGATTCCACTGCTAGCCATTATCCATCATTGCTTACTACAAAAAGCTTGTGACCTCAGGTAATATCAAGGCATACGCATAGTATGCACATATGTCAATAACAGACTGATCAATTGAAGTCTTAAACCTCAATGGGAAGATACAAGCCAAACAATACCAAGTGAATATTAATATTATGTATAAATAATAAAATCTATTGATTATTAGACATGAATTGAAGAATTAAACAGATCTTTTCTTTTCTATTCTTATTAGGATGATGTTATATCTTGATGAGTATAATGAATAGTAACTGTTGGGGATCCATTTATGGATCAATACTATACGTATAGTTTTATCGTATTATTGTTAAGTAGGTAAACTATTCATATTCGTGTTCCTCTTATGATGAACTTTGTTTTGATCTATGAACTATTATTATGCGATTCACCATTCTTCAGTTATAACCTGTCTATGAATTACTACCTCTCTCATTCTCATTTGGCCAAATCTTGTACAAATGTTGTTTCTTATTTTATTGAAACGATGTGGTCTGTCTGGTTGGTATATAAACCCAGTATGTTTGAAATAAGTGATTCATATTGCAGAGGCTCAGATTGGTGTTCTGGACTTGACAGGATTGCCTAGGAACGAAGCAGGACTGATAAGGACTCTAGACTGCTCGTACTTCTTTTATGCGCCATTGGTCCGATCGATAAATCATTACGTTATACATTGATAGAACACAAGGCAAAAGTTATAACGGATTCATCGAGAGAGAAAATGCTCCAGTGACACAGGTTTTACACGGATCATGACAGAGTCGGTAATTAAATTGAACGAATAGATAAAATATTTCTTTTAAACATATTATAAGTGTTTTCACTATTCAAATCAAAATAATACGTTAGGATAATTGGATTGATTTGTATTTTATGTGTGTTTATGGGCTGGAATACTGTCTGATCACACAACCAAATTAGATAGTATTTTAGTAGGTTACAATGGCCAAGCTCTTGACCTTATAGTTTAATCTATAAGACAGATGAGCAACGTCAAGAAATCTCATCCCATTGTGCCTAGTCTTAGATAATCAGTTAATACGCCACTTTCTTTCCTTAGGACTCTGAAGCCAATACACACGATCCGTTTAGAATAAGGGTTTTCCGATTTCTTTAAGTGAAAACTCCGTACCCGTACAATAAAATAATGTGATTGTGAAAAATAAAGAAAGATATAATAAGTGAAAAATACAGTATATAAGTAGAATTTAGCTAACGAGAGTGGTATATACTGGGGAAAGTGGTTCCGTTAAGCTAAATATAATCAGGAAGGATGTTTTCAGTTACAGAAGTTGTTAATATTCATACATTTATTGAAACACATAAACATTGATACAAGAAGACACCAAATCCATATGCCCCACATAAATCATTCGATTTATATGAGGGCTGGGATATTGCCCGAATGCCCAGACCGAAACAGCTGGTTTTCATAGGGAGCCACACTCGGAGACTTCCACATACAGGTCTGATCCGCAAGGCAGTGGAGCATCGTAAGGAGATGCAGTCACATGGTAGCCAGTAAACAACAACAGGTTCATACGCCATTGGTTTGGAATCAAGGTTTTTCAACTCCCATAGGTGGACTCTACATGTCCACCAACCCGGATAAAGTGCTGGATATTCGCTTTTCGTCCTGTCATTTTCGTCAACAACACTTCCTTCACGAGAAGACAGTAAATTGGACCAAAATGCATCAGTGATGCTTTGAAGAAACTACGTATATCTTTTATTCTTAGTTGTTGTGTTTCAGTATTAGCCACTGAATTTTTTTATTCCATTTTACTCAAATTAGGGCTTGGAAACTAGTATGCTGACTTTCGAACTAATTTGTTTGTTTTCAGTATATAATTAAAAAATTGAATCAATACATGAAATTCATGAATACCAAGACGATTTATACAATATGGAAAACCGAATTGGATATCGATAATAGAGGATATGTAACAATTGATTGATCGCTGGGTGGTGATCAACATCATGTGTGTCAACTCCTCCTTAGTGCAGATCGAATGCTATCGACCAAGTTGCGATGTGGTCTCCTGTTGACTACTTCCAATCACCATCTTATCTCAACATAGTGCATACAATGTCGAGTCACCTAGACTAATGGCCACATTGCAACTTGGTCAATAGCATTCGATCTGCGCTAAGAAGGACTTGACACACATGACATTGATCACCATCCAGTGAGTGATCAATTAATTGTGATTACATCTCAGTTCTACAGGAGGTCGGTCGCAGCCCGGATAGCTCAGTGGTAACGTCTCTGACTGTGAAGCTGGGAGACACGGGATCGAATATGTCAGGGAGCACTAGTTCGCTCAAAATTACAGGTACACCTTGCTGAAAAGTGCCAAATAGCACGAAACCCTGGTCCAGTTCAGGGTTTCCTGTTGAATACCTCCAACCATCATCTAATCTCAACAGACGATATGGGCATATTACCAAGGAATTCCAAAATGCGGTGGAAAAATTTGACTGGATATAATATATTTCACTAGTTAATTGATTAACATTAGTTTAAAATAAATACAACTTATGTTATATTTATAATTTGTAAACTTGCCATCAATGGAATTTCTAAGATTTCGATTATCCTCTAATAAACCAACATCCATCATACGTTGTCGAACACAATTATACAATTGTGAAATGCCAGAAACTTCAAGTTTAGAAGCTTCTTGAATCATAAAATTAACTCTAAACAAGAAAACAATTACAATCAAATGATATTTATTAGTTTTAGAATATAAATGAACAGCTTTTCCACACAAAAAATGATAACAAAACATTCAATAAAAGAGCAAATAATGTTGTAAGAAAGTGACTTGAACAAACTAGTTTTCCTAAACCTGCTTATATTGATTTTTAACAATTATTGAAATTCCGCTTTAATATAACTTCCACAATCAAACTAGTTTTCTAATTTGGTCTAATTAAGTTAGTCATTCAGCTACAACGTAGGAACAGGCACATATATGCATCGGTCCAGGTTGCCATAACTGATTAGCACAACTAGATGAACACCAAATTCATAGAAGTAGTTACTTTAATGATAGTAATATATAAAAGAAAGGTCTAATACAACGATATGATACAGGAAGACGAAATTACTTCGTAGAAAGAAAGGTATAAAGTAATCTCAGGTTTAAGGACAGACAAAGAATGGTCTAATTAAGATTGTAGTTATCAGTATGGGATTGTGGAGATTGTTAAGTTTTTGATTGAGATCATGAATCGACTGGGTTTAGACCATCATTGAAAACCCGAAAGTACTAGATGACCCCTCTCGCGGGATTGAAACCTAGAACCTTCGGTCTCGGGCGTCAGAATAGTTAACCTCTAGACCATTGAGCTGGCATCCAACGGTTTTAATGTCTAACTTCAACCGATCGATGAAATTGCGCGACCATCTTCCATTGTCTGAGGTAGATACCTGTCTCTACCTTATACGTATTAGCTCCACTGGTCACGGCTTCTCCGTGTCAGGTAGAGACAAGCATCTACCTCAGACATTGGAAGATGGTCACACAATTTCGCAGATTGGTTGATGTAAGACATTTACACTATTGGATTCCGGCTCGGTGGTCTAGACATTTCGCTCCTCTCTCCTCTTCGCTCCGTTTTCCCGATTGTCTGTTTAGATCAACCATTGTATGAAATATACGCATTCAAACTTCATTGTCATATTTGACTTAGTTAATTCCGTTATTCACTAACGCGAGTTAAGTCGATAGTAATATACGAGGGTTAGTGATATGTATATTGTGATAACAATCCTTCACACAAACCAAATAGAGTCAGATATTGTACCATTAAAAGATAACTACCAGATCGTTAAGCAGGAGATAGTCACTTTGTAAACTATATTGAAAACTTGAAAGTGATGCATATAACTTTACACAGATGTTCAATATACATATTTTTCTTTGTAGTGCTACCACCGAAGTAGAATGACCTTATTTGGTACATAAGCATTAGAAAAATTTTACAAACATCTCTGGAGAAAAATGGATGTTCTATTGAATGACTATAAGTAAGGAGAATCTTCAAATGATAATTTACAAATACCACTGTCTAATAACAATTGGATCAGATAAACGACCACTTGTACTTAATTATTGGCTAACTGATGTGAATGCGAGAGAAATAATGATTGATTATTTGCCTAGTAAGACCAGTAGATAGTCGGACAGGTATTAATTGAGTTATATATTTTCCTACCCTTATAATTATTGTGATTGTTGTCGGTTATTGGCGTAGGAATATACCCACGTCCCCGTCAGACCAATCACGTGTTTTTGACCGGAATTGTGTTGACGTCCTGTGTAAGAGACACTAGGAGAGTATCCAGTATGGACATTCGTCTAAGCTAAATTAGCGTCCCATTTGTGTAAGGGAGAAAACCGAGCGTTATTTCACTAACAGAGCAGAGAGTAAACGAATAACTATGGGTCCATCCATTTGATTTAGCTTCTTTGACGGTGAACTAATTTCACCTGGTCATGATTAGAGTACTTTAATAAACTCGCAGAAAATTCAACAATCCGAATCAAGCAGCTGAATGACGCAACACTAAGGTAGTCTTCCTACTGACAAAACGAAGACACAGTAATGTATCAATCTAAGCGTTTCCACTTTCACACCGTAAATAAATCGACGAAAATTATTAAGGTGAACAAAAACTATACGAGTAGAAGAAATAATGGTAGAACGTAACATGAATAGTATAATCCAATTTTGTGCGGATTTAATTTTAACAGTTAATAAAACTCACCTAGACGAGGATGACTTTTTGGTGTCCTCGGATAGGTTTTTGTTATCTTCAGGTGGCTTTTTGGTGTCATCCGATGACATGTTATCTGTAGGTATGAAAAGTTTAAAAGTATTAAGTGCCTCATAACAGTAATATTAAATATATACGGTCCCCCTAAGGAATGAACCGATAATTTTCCTTTGATAAAGATGTCAAGCAACAAAACAAGAAATAGTAATATTTACGGAAAACTTTCATCCAAATTCGTTTATTTCTCGTCTTCTTACACATGTTGACTCTAGAATAACTGAGTGAACCAGTGTGAGGTACCTTGTTGAAACTTATGAGATTTACTTATAACATTAAACGGAACATTACAGTGTGCAGAAAACGACATAATAGTTGTGACGAAATAAAAATAGCAAACGCACTAAAGGGCTTGGTCTACAGAGGAATGAAATCATGATATATTGTATCCACTTTAATATTTATGAGGAAAGCTCGAACAAAACAGCACGATGTTTGAATTAAAAATCATTTACGTGAGACCACGAAATCATAGAGTAGTGCGGTATTCCCCTGTGGATCTGAAAACTGGAAGTCACAATGACGTCTGAACAATCGATAGGCTTGTCTTCGCAACGAAAATAGAAAAGCACTGCAACCTAGGATGTGAAACCTTTAGTTTACCATACAGACTGAGATCTTGAGTGCTATCGCTTGAAATCGGCTCTTCTCTTTAGCCTTCAGTTATACTATTATTTCATGGTCTCCATATTTTCGACTTATATTATTTTCGAGCCGTTATCCCTATATTTTTTGTTTTTAATTATTATAGACATCATTATTTTTCAGCTTCTCGCAGATGATGGGATATGGCTACGTAAACCAATATGAGTTCGTACCACATCCTACGTTATGACTAAAATGTAATTCAGCAAGAGGCATCAAAACCGTGAAATGCACTTTTTAACATCAAGTTGGGCAAGTGGCTTGTTTAACATAAATCACATTTGTTTACACATTGTTTGAACCACTGATCAAGCAGGGCTAATGTTAATACAAATGCAGATGAACTGAATGATGCCCTCAACTACTTAATTTTCTAATATTGAACTAACTGACAAAGTACACAATTACTGAAGCAAAAACAGATTTAGGAGTGAAGGTTGCATTAAATTTCTCGACAGACTGAAACATACCCACAATGCTGCCCTAGGTGACCAACAGCATTTTCATTTTATTATTCTTCACTTGGTATTTGTCAGCCAACAATATGAATTACAGCCAACAGAACTATAGAATAAGAAATCATTTTATGTGGTACTCTAGTGGTTAATGCACCTAATATGTATTAAGTCAGGATCAGGAACTCAGTTTTACTTTGGGTCATCCGACAAAACGACATGTTTCTCGTGCAGTGTCTAAGTAGTTGTTCATAACCCTTTGGTTTCTGAATGTTCCTTATATATAAAACAATACTGTACGAAGAAGTAATGTGTCGAAAGTTTAGAGAATTTATTTTTAAAAGATCCTGGTAGACTCCCATTCTGAGTAACAAAATACACTGAAAAAGTCCGACAGTAAGACGGAAATCCACCTCCGGTTTGGATGGAAAAAGCTTATTCTCATAGAATATTATTGTAAGTAATTTGCTGTAATCGAACAACTCTGATGATTTGGGAAAAGTTGGTGCCTTTATCCGTACCAGATGATCCTACAGTTCAGGTCAAAGAATTGGTAACAGGTAAGAGGACCGACAAAAATGTTGAACCCCAACCATATAGACCCCATAAAGTAATCCTAGGGTAGGAGAAACAACGAGATTTTTCGTTAAATTGCGCCCAAAGTCACAATATTACCGATATTCAAGTAAGACCTGATATGTCTAAAATATATAATAAAAAGGCAGCACTAGTTGAACTAGAAACCTGTCGATAAAACGGTGAGGAAAATCTCCGCTCAGTGGGTTTTAGAATAGTCAGGTCTTGGAAGTGGATGCTACCAAGGTTTGTATGTATAAGTCGCTCTCTAGGAGTTTTAAATGAAAATGCTTGTAGTCTAAGAAATAAATTCAAAAACTAGGAGCATCAGTGGACAAATAAAAGCCACTCATTGTAACTGTGACGGAAATGTGGTTAATCCATGACTTCGATGTTACTCCAGAACTATCCAGATACCACTAAGAAGTGATAAAAAGAGATGCAGGGAAGTGTGTGAAGGCTTTACATACATTCTTGGTAATATAATTATCCGCTCCTCTGATTGTGAATCCTATGATAGTGGAACTTGTGAAGTCATTAGCTGTGAACTCACTACCGAACGTTGCACATTTATACTTTTTGTCATCTATCGTAGCCCAATCTGTTTAGCTGCGGAATTTATTTTAGAGCACGTTCAGCTATGGAGTGAAAATAACATATGCCTGACATTAGTTTTTAATGAACCTGGCATTAGTTGAACTGAGAGGACCAACGTAGGATCTGTAAATTCCTTTGATAGTAGGTTCCTGATAACGGTAATGGAGCATGTATCCGAACCCACATGTTTTGACTCAAATCAAGGATCTTTTATGTTAGACTTAGTGATCACTCATAAGACTGAGGATAACCCCAATCTAAATATTCTCCCGCCGTTAACAAATAGCGATCATGCTGTTTTGTCATTGGTGTTTAGAGCTTGTGACACAATATACGATTACTTTAAACCTCACCCAAATGTATGGAGAGCAAACATATCAACCATTCACGAGTGCCATGGAAAAAACAAACCGGTCATTAGATACTAGCTTATCAGTTTAAAAATCATGGTCTATACTTAAAGGTAATCTTAATTCAGTTACGCTCCCGTTTACACTATGCTTACTACCACGTAGACCAAATAACTGTCCACCATGCATAACTAAACAAGTCGAGAAACTTCATAGACATAGGAAAAAAGCACTGGAATATGTTAATCTCTACAATCTTACAACAGCATAGATCTGGTTATTGTAAGACTAGGAGTGCTTGTAATGCGTCGATAAGGTAGAGTAAACAGTTATGTGAAGAACAATTGACTAGGAGTTGTAAAAATAGTCCGCGAAGGGTATTCTCGTATATCAAGAGACAAACTCAAAGAAGCGATTAAATGTCACCACTTTTGATAGAAAATCCGTGGATATTGGCTAGCGACTATGCCAAAAGGCTTAAACTTTATCGGAATATTTCAGTAAAGTGTTTTATACTGGCAATGAGGAATGAACAACGATGCTTGTCGACGTATCCGGTAGTTATTGAGAACAGATTTGTCTTAAAATTAAATCAACATCTCAAACCAGATAAGTCCAGTGATTCTGACGATATTCGTCCTAAGATTATGAAAGTCCTATCGGATGTAATTGCTGAGACTGAAAAGAAGCAGCAATTAGTCCAGTATATAAGGCGAGGAGGAGAAACTTAACTAGTCTAACCAGTGCAATTTTAAAAGAAATGAAAAAGATTATTCGGATGGCTGTTATAAACTATGTTGAAGGGTATAATCTTTTATCTAGGGAACAACATGGATTTCGGGAACGCCTATCATGTTTGACAAATCTGCTCATCACAAGAGAAGATTGAGTTGTGGCAAACGATCGAAATATTCCTGTAGATGTGACTTTCATAGATCTAAGTACAGCCTTTGATAAGATCTTTTATTTGAGTCTTAAATTAACATTGGAAAATTTTGGAATCCATTGTAGAGTCATAGACTGGATAAGTGACGTTCTCCATGACAAAGGCAAGGGGTAAGGGTAGAAGGGGCTCTCATAGTAGGAATGTGTAAAAAGGGGAGTCCCCCAAGGTACAATCCCCGATTCTCTTCTTTTTACTTTATGTAAATGAATTACCAACTGTAGTAAAACCGCCCGTTCTACTCTTCACTGATGATATAAAAATTAGGAGACCTATACACAGTATATCGGATAGGATAGTATTACAGGATGATCTTAGCTCATTGGTGGCATGGTTAGGCAGGTGGTCACTAGAAGTAAATCCTAAAAAGTGTGATAGTGCAATTAAGTAACTATGATGAATTGTATCACTATATAATATGTGGATTCGTGCTACATAAGCTAAGAAACCATAAAGATTTAGGAGTCATAAAAAGCAGTGGTCTCAAAACTACTAGTAAATGTAAGGCTGCTGCTGAAAAAGGCTATAAGGTGCTATGGGTTATTCGTAGGTCCTTTCAGTAGTTCGATGAATAAACGTTTAGATTACCATACCCGAATATCGTGAGACCGCATTGAAGCAGCGAATCCTTGTTTCAAGTATGAAGTGGATATGTTGGAACGAGTCCAACGACAACGCAGTAAAACAGTGAAAAATCTTTCTGGTCCATTTTATAAAGACAGACTTCGAAGCCTTAACTTAATTCCATTATTTTAACGCAGATTATGGGGAGATCTAATATTGGCTTATGGTATAGTGAACGATGACGTTGGCACTGATGGATTTCTTCATTCCGTCCACGACTTACCATGTCAGAAAATATTCCAATAAAACTCAAAAACAGAGAATAAATCGTTTATATCTGGAGTTTTGTTTCTCGCATCGAGTAGATACTCGGTGAATTAAGGTAATCCTTTACTGGAACGCGTAACATCTGCACCTTCTGTTTATATATTCAAAAAAAACTGAACGTGCACAGTGTTAGAAACTGCAATGATCAATAAAAATCGATAGACCTCTTATACTTACTATTGAAGACCGGATACTTACCGGAGTGACGCACCTACTTACAAATTGCGCGAAATTAAAGTAGTGGTTAAAAGATATTGGAAGTCTGATAGCTTTAAGAAATATTGATTTAATTGGTGATGTAATGATCTGATGGTAAGACAAGTGTTTATCGCGATATATGTAACAACAAAAATAAAATCACTATTTTCCCTAATATTAGTCTTTAGTAATAAGGATAATAGGCTGGTGAACGTGTGTGATTATATTCATATCCAATATCTGTTATTTTTCCCCATCTTTCAAAATTAACATAAATGAACAACTGAATAATACCCATGCTACTTTCGCTATCCAAACAAACTCTATCTCATTCACTTAATCTGCCTTAATAGTCACAG